TGCGAAAAAATGGCACTCTTTGTGTAATATTGATCAACAATATGAAATTATATAAATATATAAATTTCTGCCCCCATATCTTGAATTTTGGGAGCATTCTAAATGCATTTTATTATACTGAATCATGCAGTAAAAGAACACACTCTTAATGAGCATTCAGTCGAGCTAGTGTTTAAGCACTCATAACTCCTCTCATAATCAATAAAGCTGTCCATACACGGTATGATAAATGAATCTCTAACTTACATCGTACCTACATCAGCACTTTGTTGCTTATGATGAGGGAATTCGCGAGTTTCTGTCTGAACAAAGCTCTGGGGTTTCAGCGATGACTGATCTGAACGCCTCTGATTGGCTACTGCATTCCTAAGCTCAACAGAATCGTGTGTGATTGGTTATAATGAGCAACACTGTAAAAACGCGTACAAATAAAATATGATGTAACATAACCAGGTCTAAATTTAATACAGCAATCGAAATTTAATTCGAAATCCCCCCCCCTTAATGCTTATGGGAGGTCCGGGACCCCACCAGCCCCCCCTCAATTCAAACACTGGTTTTAGGTTCAAATCGTGCAAGGGTTCATACATCATGCCTTAACATTTTGCCCTTGAGCTTGGCTCGAGAACTATCCCTTTAATAAATCAAGTAAAAATTTTCACCATGGAAGGTTGTAGGTTTTAATCATGGAAGGGATACACTATGCCTCAACATTGAGTTAAACCACTTGCTGACTGACTGTCATTGTAATACAAGTTTCACAAATGGAAAGTTGTAGGTTCATATCCCGCAAGGGTCCATACACTATGCCTCAACATTGTTCCATTGAGTTAAATCACTTACCCCAGCGGACTGTCTTTCTAATAAGTCTTTTACCAAGTTTCACAAATGGAAAGTTGTAGGTTCATATCCCACAGGGGACCATACACTATGCCTCAGCTTTGTGACACTGAATTTAATCACTTGCCCCAGTTGACTGTCTTTGTAATAAGTCTCTTAACAGTTTGCACAGATGGAAGCTTATGGGTTCATATCCCACAGGGGTCCACAAACTATGCCTCAACATTGTTCCATTGAGTTAAATCACTTACCCCAGCTGACTTTGTAATAAGCCTCTTAACAGTTTGCACAGATGGAAGGTTATGGGTTCTTATCCCACAGGGGTCCACACACTATGCCTCAACATTGTTCCATTGAGTTAAATCACTTACCCCAGCTGACTGAGCTTATAATAAGTCTTATGACAAATTTCACAACTGAAATGTTATAGGTTCAAGTCCTAGAAGTGTCCGTATCTTGTGCCCTTGAGCAAGGCAGTTGCTCTAGACAACTCTCGCTCTTATAAACTGCAGTTTTCACAATGATCCAACACAGTCCTGCTCGGATAAAGAAGCTTGTAGGTCAGGGATGGGCAACTGCAGTCCTGGAGCGCCACTGTCCTGAAGAGTTTAGTTTCACCCCTAATCAAACACACCTGCCTGTCATTTTCAAGGAATCCTGAAGACAAAAGTAAAAATTTTCAGGTTTGTTCGATTAGGATTGGAACTAAACTCTGCAGGACAATGGCTGTCAAGGACTGGAGTTGCCCATCCCTGTTGTTGGTAAAAACACCTGCTAAGACCGATAATATTCAGTGTCAAGCTTATCAATGTAGGAAACCTGTAACACAAATCCAGCAGGCTTCGTTGTGCACACAGAGTTTTACTACCCTTCATTTTGCTACTTGAAGAACAAGTTACCCTCAAAGACAGAGGTGAGGTGTCAGACCCACTGAGATTGCACCCATTTACTCAGGTCTCATTCTCGCAGTCTACTGTGCGTCAGGAAGACAGAAGTGCAGGGCCTGACTAATGGTTCTGCCTGCTCCAGAAATCCATTTATCTTTTCCTTTCATTTCCAACGGTGTCTTCCAGAGTAAATGTCTCAATGTAATTACACAGAAATTCTCCCTCTGCTCTCCAGTGAACGAAAGGAGAAGAAGGCAGTGTGATTCATGATGAGACTCTTACATAATTACCCTACACAGTAAGTGGGTTGGAGTTACCCATCATTCAGCACAGACCACAATTCTCACAAAGCATCAGGGATTTGGATAAGGCCACTTAAATTTAAATGGAAGGTTCAACTCAACTCCTTTTTCATTTGATCGATGTTTATTACTTTACCAACTTAAAATTATTCAGAATCTGGCTTCTAACTTAGCCATTTCACTCCACTTGAACACCAAATTGTTTGAGATCCTGTTTGCCTACCTCAGCAGCCTCTTTTTCAAACTTCTCGATGGTTCTTTTATCAATTCCTCCACATTTATAGATGAGATGCCCAGTGGTGGTGGATTTCCCAGAATCAACATGGCCGATGACCACAATGTTGATGTGGATCTTCTCTTTCCCCATGATGATACAGGACAGGAGGAAAGGATGGGAACGGATGGAGCTTTCTTCTGTCTACAGCCGTCGCAGACAAAGAACATTTGTACACATTTCATCTTAAGATCACAATTACATTTAGTCATTTAGCAGATGCTTTTATCCAAAGCGACTTACAAATGAGGACAATGGAAGCAATCAAAATCAACAAAGGAGCAATGATATGCAAGTGCTATAACAAGTCTCAGTTAGCTTAATGCAGTACACGTAGCAAGGGTTTTTTTTTTTTTATTATATAATAAAAAGAAAACAGAACAGAAAAAGAACAGAGCAAGCTAGTGTTAGAGGCATTTTTTTGCTTTTGTTAATTGTATAAAAAAGAAAAAGAAAACAAATAGATAGAATACAAAAGCAGTAAATGTATAGAGTGCAAGTTTAAAAGGGACAAGTTTTTTTTTTTTTTTTTAATAGAATTAGAATAGAGAGTGCTAGATTTAAAGGGTCAAATAAAGATGGAAGAGGTGTTTTTAGCCGATTCTTGAAGATGGACTGAGTTGGCAGGTCATTCCACCAGGAGGGAACATTTAATGTAAAAGTCTGTGAAAGTGATTTTGTGCCTCTTTGGGATGGCACAATAAAGCGCCGTTCACTTGCAGAACACAAGCTTCTAGAGGGCACATAAGTCTGAAGTAATGCATTTAGGTAAAGGGGTGCAGACTGCAGAGCCAGTGGTGGTTTTGTAGGCAAAAATTAATGCCTTGAATTTTATGATTTTTTTTATTCCGTAAACGGTCTTCAGAGCACAGCAGAACTAAGCTATTCAAGGTCATTTCTGAACATAAAATTAGAGATAAATATTTCAGATAAAATACACTACATCAATTAAATAATACAATTATAAAACATTATATACTATATAAAATATATGAAATATTACTTGAAAAGTTGTCATGAATAATACATTAATAAGAAAACTTTGACCTCAATCATTTTACCAGTTTACCAAAAGTCTTGCAAAATTGCAATCTCAAATTATTATTATTATTCAGACCAAACAATCCTAAAAAATAATGTACATACATTTTCAAAACTCACTTCCTTACAAGTTTACATACCCCTTGCAGAAACTGTAAGATAACTGTCTTTTTTTTTTTTTTTTGGCTTTATATATTTGACATTGCATAATATAATATTTGAATATATTAAACAAAACAAAATTATAAATTACACAAATCAAAAAATGGACATACCCTTGGCTTTCAAGATGTATGTTGCCTCTCTGAGCATGTTATTGTTTTAACTATAGTCAAATGAGTCCCTCAATTGATTGTTAAAGCTGGGTGTTAAAATCATACCTCCACCGTGGGAAGAACTCAAATGTGCAGAATATGCAAAGAACTTACAGTACCTGGAGGCTTTTTGTCAAAAACAGTGGGTAGCTTCAATGCTCGGGACAAACCAGAGACTCATGCACAACTATCACAAAAGCCTACGAACAGTTTTTGATGCAGGAGGAAACAACACATGAAATTAAGATGCAAGGGTATGTAAACTTTTGAACAGGATGTGTAAATCCTGCTATTAATTTGTCAACATATTACAACGTAAATATTTTGTTGAATAGCTTCATCAAGGCAGTACTTAATAAAAACACAGAATAGAAAAAAGCTGAGTATAGTTAAAGTCTATCAGCAGGAGGATGATTGTGGCCTCTTACCTGCAGCTGACAGGCAGACCCTGTTCTCCCCTCAGCAAACAGACACTCTGTGCTCCTGCAAAGGTGGCGGCACAGTCCAAGTCTGTGTGCGTAATGAACTCCCCCCACTTTGAGTGCCGCATTGCTGTATCAAAGTGGGGGGAGGCTGGTGGTGAGGGACTGCAGTGAGACAGCTGCAACAGCAGCAGAAACGAGCTGAGAGGAAAAGTACGAGAGATGAAGGACGAACACACTGGAATAGAGCAGCGTTCAGTGACTCAGCATCTTATCCTCAATTAACTCCTGCTGGATAAGAATCGGATTGGCTCCCTGTTTTGGTCTGAAATATGACACCTGCAAATTCCTAATATACGTAGTATTATTATTGAGAATGTTTATTACCAGGTTATTCTAGATGTAACTATTTCTGTCTTTAGTTAGTATTTTAGCACATCAGAAATTGTATGTTTATCATAGGGGTCTGATCAGTTTCCTGGTCTGTTCTTTGAAAATTCATCAATAAATTATATTTTGACATACATACATATACGTATATACACATATATATATTTAATTTATTTTTTAGTTCAAAATAATTTATTTGAAATGGAAATCTTCTGTAACATTACGAATGTCTGTCACTTTATGTCAAAGTAAATATCCAACTGAACCCAATCTTTTGAACAGCAGTGTAAGTATCACCTGATGACAGAGTAAAAAAAGGTGCCAGTGTTCTTCCAAGCATTGCTAGACATTTGGTTTCTAAAAAGACCTAAAAAGTCTAAGATTCTCCTGTGGCGTCATAGGAAGTTAAACCATTTTAAATTCCTTTTTGGATCATTTATGTTTACCAGAATAGATCAATGGGAGGCTAACATATTAAATATTGTTCATTGTCAGATTAGGAATTAAGAAGTCAAATCAGACCAACATGGTTCACTACCATTTTTTAATCAGGGACATACTCCTGATGTGTTTAACACACATTCGGTCAAATATTTCAATCAAACATGACTCAGAAACAGTGCAAATATCAATCACTATTTCCTAAGCATTTGATCAATGACCGTCTAATTGGCTAATAGAATCAAGTTATTTCATACAGTTAATAACACGTCTAGCTCAGCTTATTTGCAGTGTAAGTTCTAATAAATCACACAACAAACTAGTTGATTCTCTGGTCCGTCTCAAGAACGTCTGCTCTGACGAAAATAAAATAAAGCTACCACTTAAAATTCCCACAAATCTTTTTAAAAAGTTGCTGTTTTGTTTCCAAACTCAGCAGAGGAAAGCTTATTTGTTTATCATACTTTCCCCATCAGTCTAGTCAGATCCCACACAACCACCAAAGACTTTCCTTCGTCTAGATTTCCTCCATCTGTCAGTGAACAGCTCAGAACGCTTAAAGCACAGGAACGCCTCTCGCAGTGAACACACGAACATCACACATCCCCTGCTCGCCATCTCATTTCACTTTCACATTGGCTCTAGCGCGACCAATATTAGCTACACCTTTCTCCGTCAGTTCTTTTCAAATGTCTGATGTCCCAAGTCGTCCTGCTGCAAGCTGCGGCTACGTCCTGCGGCGCTTGGCTCCTCCAGGGCTGGAGGGGTTGCTGGAGTTCATCACCTTCTCCACGGCTCGACTCCTCTTCCTCTTTTCCCCGGCTGATTCTTTCGACCCGCTGCCCGCCTCACCTGAGCCCCCCCTCTCTGCCCGCTCTCTCTCTTTCTCGCGCCCGCTGCCCGACCTCTCCGACATCTTCACGGAGGAATTGCTGCCTGACGAAGGGAAAAGGGAGGGAGGAAATGGGGAAAAAAGGGTGGGATATGGGAACACAAAGAACAAACCATATTAAACCCACTATAAGAGAAAAAAATACTTATTTCCACCTAAATTTATTATTTCTATCATAATTAAAAAGTGGTGTGTAATTTCTGCACTACATGAAGCCCGACATTAGCATAACCAATTGTCAAAGTTAGTGGCGGAAGGACCTGTTTGTCCACACAATGGTAGATAGAGAAGAAAATTGAGCAGAAGTTTGGTACACTTCACCTTTAACTGCATGTCTATAAAATTTCCTCTTAATTAGTGCTGAGAGAAAGGTCAACCATATTTACATAATCAGCTTTACATAACGTGTTTTGACATGACAGCATAATTTGCCTTCTTAATAATTCAAGTTTTTTTTTCTAAAGCATGTGAAACTCAAGCACCAATAATGTGCTGACTTCCAAAAAATGCTTTTACCATAAAAAATACCCAAATCCCCCAAATAAGCTATTTCTGTTGTTTCTGCTCTATTTATGACAAAGCTGCTTGTTTTTAAACTTTTTTAATTAACGGAAACTGGGAATATAATGTATGATTAATATAATATACTCCCAAAATATAAATATGTGACCCTGGACCACATTACCAGTCATAATTACCACGGGGATATTTGTAGCAATAGCTAACAATATATTGTATGGGTCAAAATGATCAATTTTTTTTTATGCCAAAAATCATTAGGATATTAAGTAAAGATCATGTTCCATGAAGATATTTTGTAAATTTCCTACCGTAAATATATCAAAACTTAATTTTTGATTAGTAATATGCATTGCTAAGAACTTCATTTGGACAACTTTAAAGGCAATTTTCTCAATATTTTGATTTTTTTGCACCCTCAGATTCCAGATTTTCAAATAGTTGTATCTCAGCCAAATATTGTCCTAAACCATACATCAATGGGAAGCTCATTTATTCAGATTTCAGACGATATATAAATCTTAATTTCAAAAAAATGTACCCTTATGACAAAACTGCAAAACTGCATGTTCTTCAGTAAAAACACTAGGTATTGAAGAAAAATAAAAAAGAAATACCGTTTCAGATCACATCTTATGTTTTATTTGAATATTTTAATTTAGATATTTTAAGAATTATTTATTAATTTAAATTTATGGAACCATGCAGACCCTTCAAATTATTTGCTGAGGCCCCCCTGTGGGCCCGGCCTCCTGGATGATCAAGAAATAATCTCTGGTATAGGGATGTTAATTTTAACCGGTTAACCGTTAACCGACCGTAAGAATTTTTGACCGATTAATACAATCAGTTAAACGGTTTAAAAAGTCATTTATTTTATTTTTTTTCAGTAATTTATCAAAATATTTAAAAAGGTTTGCTGCATGGTTAAAATACGCTACGCGTATAAAAAAGTGTTTTTAGGGGGAAAAAAACGCAAGTCGCGTATAAGTCGCATTTGATTATTTCATTCAGAAATAGGCCTAATGCCGACGTGAAATGTTTACAAACATTATAATAAACACCGTAAACATAGCTAGGCTATTTTAGTTCCCCTCACGCCACAACAAATCGTGTCAATTAACAGTATTTAGAAGAGAACAAGAATTAAAAATATAAGAAGCCATATCAATATAAACGACAAGCCAAAACGAATTCATTTAGGCTAAAACGAAACTGAAACCAACGTTGGGTCTCTCATTTGACACAAAATCAAATATTTCCGTATTCGTGATGTATTTGAATGCCAAAATATTATTTATTATGTACTTCACTCGTGTTCCAATATCCACGTAAAACAAAATGTTTTGCATAACATCACAGTGGTACGGTGATAACACTTAACGGCACAGATTTTACTACATATTTAAACTGAGCAGTGTGTTTTTTCCATATGTTTGACTGACTGTATTGTATTATAATAATGAGCAGGCTGCATTGTCAAGGTAGCAATGCTTAACTGTGTGTGCGCATGCGGCGCCGGCGCAATCACTTGAATTTTTTCCTTCTAACAGTGGAAGCAGCAACTACTCCTTTTAGTCATAAAGATAATTGAAATTGTAAAGAAAAATAGGATGCCGCTTTCTGCCGTCTGTTTCCTTTCGCGCAGCACAAAAATGAACCGAAACTCTGCATGCTAGGCTACACTGTAAAAAATGACAGTGAATTTAACGGTAAAAGACTATAAAAATGCTACAGTAAAATCCTGTTAAATGGTTAACGGTAAATTCCCCTACTATATACGTTGAAAAACTGTATTGGACATTACATGTATTGGACATAAATTTTACGGTAGTATACCGTTTTTAGAAGTGAAAAAGGTATATTAACATTATATCAGTTAATGAAATTACGGTATTTAACTGTAAATTTAAGTTAAAACCGTAAAACCTAAAACGTTGCTACCGTATTTTTTACAGTAAAATTCCGGCAACCACAGCTGCCGGTTTTTTACCGTAAATTTTACGGATTTTTTTTTAAAGTGTACTTATTATAGTTTTTCTTTCATTTTCTTAATTTATTATTTAAGTAAAACTATATTTCTCGTATAGGCCTATTTATTATTATTATTTTATTATTATATTAATATATTATTACATTATTACTATTTATATAGCCTAGCTTTATTATGTTTTTCTCCGCTCGCAGAAGCGCTGCAGATGCGTGATGTGATATGAAGACCATGTGAATCCTCATGTTCTGTGTTTGCTGCTTTTTGCACACGTAAAATTAATCCCCGGGAAACAAATGTTAATATTTTTTTAACGGGTCACAGACACGTATCCTTTCTAATTTAAAATAATCTTGTCGGTTAACGGTTAATAATCGGTTAACGAGCGTCGGTTGTCGGTTAGGAAAAATAACCGAAATGAACATCCCTACTCTGGTACTAATAAAGTATTATTTTCACCATTTTCCACATTAATAAAGTCACTTAAAAACTTCTTCAAATTTTATAAATGTGCTTATGAGCTTTTGAAAGCTCACCATTGTCTAAGATGAGCTCATTTTATTGAATGAGCTCTGTGCTACGTCTGAACTGATTGCACTGTATTTTATATATAATCATTTTCTATTTTTAACGGTTTTAAATTCATTTTAAATACATTTTTTAATCATTTTAAAAGTTTTTAAATTCCTTGTTTTATTGTTGTGATTAATGTTTTTATGATTACTTAACTTCCTTTTATGTAAAGCACTTTGAATTACCATTGCGTATGAAATGTGCTATATAAATAAACTTGCCTTGCCTTGCCTAAGGCAAATAGCTAAGTCATACACATGACCACTACTAAAATGTAACAGTTTAAAGGGATAGTTCACCCAAAAATGAAAATTGTGTCATCATTTACTCACCTTCATGTCATTCCAAACATGTATGAGTTTCTTTCTTATGTTGAAGATATTTTGAAGAATGCTGGTAATCAAACAGTTGATGGTCCCCATTGACTTCCATAGTATTTCTTTCCCAACTATGGAAGTCAGTGGGGACCAACAACTGTTTGTTTCTTCAAAATTCTTCAAAACATCTTTTGTGTTCAACATAAGAAAGAAACTCATACAGGTTTGAAATGACACGAGGGTGAGTAAATGAAGACAACATTTTCATTTTTGGGTGAACTATTCCTTTAAGCCTTCGTTAGCAAGTAGTTCACCAATAATCCAAAATCTATCCATTAAGTTACTTCAAGTAGCAGGTACTATACTGGCGCTCTGTTCCAAACCCTAAATTTTAGCCAAATATTAAGACTTTCCTTTTGTGGAAAAGGAATCCCCTAATGCACTGCAATGTGCAGTGCAAAATCCTAGATAGGCAAAGCAAGATAAATGGTAATGGTTTTAATTTCCATTCAGTATTTGAACCTATATTTGTGTACCCTGTATATTGTTGTGTTCACACCATGTTGTAGTTACCGCAGTTCTATTCAGAGCTGTTCACGTCCTTGGCAACACCATTAATGGCAAAATTAATCTGTGCAATTTGCGTCATCAATAGACAAATCCACAGTATCTTATTACTAGTTGCGTGCTTGTGTATGATGTTGAGCAGGTTGTACATATTTGAGCTCTCAGAAAATTCCACTTTTACAAGTCATTGAGGACATGAATGATTTTTTCAAGTAATACACTCATAATTACGATAATTCTGAAATAACGTGAACACACCTTGTGCTTATAAGCTTATTGTATTGTTAGCAACATGCTAACACAACATTCTACTCAAAATACATTTGTGCTATTTGTATGCCGCTATTTGTATGCCTACTTAAAGTTGTGTGTTTTGACATGACAGCACAAATTGCCTTCTTAAGAATTCAAGTATTGCTTTCTAAAGAATCTGAAATGAAAACTGCGAGAATGTGCTGACTTTTAATCTATTCAAGAAAATAAACTTTTGACATGAAAAATATCTAATAATTATGATAATTCTGACTGAACACACCTTATGCTTATTGGCTTATAGTGTTATCATGCAAACACAACACTGACTGACTCTACTGAAGTTTTGAGTGTGCTTTGTTTGTGCTATTTGCACACCACTGCCTATGTAGAGGGTTCAAAATCAGTCATTTATAAAGTTGATATGCCATGTAGGCAATAAGTATGGGGCAAAACACCAGGTTTTGGAACAGAACTTGTATCTCTGATGCTTTTCAATTTAGAATTATATGTTTAAGATTTTAATAACCAAATTTTACTGTCTGCTTTAACAACTAACAATTTTCATATTGAAGGCTGAACCAGTGTATATTATTTCTTCAACCTTGTGACTGGAAATTTCTGAAAAACCGGTGAACTTGCAAGGGATCTCATTATCATATAAAGCTGCTGCTGCTGTTCAACAAACCTGTCCAAGCAAACCCTCAACATGCCGTGCTTCATACACAGAGAATAACAACAAGCTAAGGTGCACAGAACACATAAAAAAAGACAAAAGAGAAAGAAGGACAGCGAAAGAAAGACGAAGAGAAAGACGCACATGGTCAGAGGTCTCTGAAGGCTGTCTACAGAGGCCTCTGGTAATGAGCTGGTCTGTACTGAGCTCAAGCTGGAGTTTTGGAACAGAGCGAAACGTTTTCTTCTGTCCATACCTCGCAAAATCCTGGCCAGCCATACTGGGACCCAGACCTTTGAAAATGAGACACAAATGACCAGTGTGAGCCACGCTGAGCTTCACGCCAACGGGAGAACGATCCAGAAAAAAAAAAAGTGATGCAATGACGCAGGTTAGACGGCTTTCGTCAAAAAGAAAGAGAGAGAGAGGGAAAGGAAAAAAGAAAGGGGTGAGTAGATGAGGAAAAAAAAGAGAGTGAAGGAGAAGAGAACCTTCTTCATGGGTTGCGGGTGGGTCACTTTCTTCTTTGAACTCCTCCTTCACTTCGTCTTCAGATCCCACTTTACCTGCGCAAAGACAAAAAGAGCTTTTAAGTAAATCAGTAAAATCAAATGGACCAACTGTAAATCACAAGACAGAAACTAAGAGCGGCTCACCTTCCTTGACTTCCTGTATGATCTCTTCAGGCAGCACAAAGCTCTTCTCTGAGTTTGGAAACGGGAGTATTTCTGATTCGTGCTGCAGCAACAAAAAGTCATTGACTGATTAGATTTGAGAGGTATTGTGGAATCTACTTTATTTATCCCTGTTGGAAATTACAGCAATAAAAGATGAGTAGTCAGCTGATAATTTGTGATAATAATTAATTTTATAATCATTAAATGATAACTTCTGATTATAAATGGAATTAAATGTTAACTCTAGATAATATCTATTTTTAACACTCTCAAAAGACTTCAAAAGTAGAAAATTTATAATAAATGCTTCAAAAACTATAGTTATCAATTAATTGTCCTGACATATATCGATATAGTACCATCATGGATTTTTATTAATATTTTGATTTATATTCTCAGTTACCATTCAATTTTAGTTTAAGATTTAGTCACTTTGCGGTGTCATTTATTCACACACATATATATATATATATATATATATATATATATATATATATATATATATACATATATGAATAAATGACACCACAAAATGACTAAATCTTAATATTTAATTATTTAATATTTAAATACTAAATATATATAAAAAAATACATTATATATATATATATGTATGTGTATGTGTGTGTGTATTATATATAGTTTTCATTTTTTTAATTCTTTTTTGGTTATTTTAATACATTAAGTTAAACTAAATGAAAATGAGAAATGTTGCCTTGCAAACTAAACAATAATTACTTATTTCATTTCAGTTAAAAATTGTTTATTATAGTTTACATTTATTTTATTTCAAGTAACAAATATGTATTAGGGTCAGAAAGTCTAAGACCACTCGTGAAAATGCTTTTATTTAGCATTTTCTCATTAAATTTATTTATTTATTTATATTATTTGCATAACAATGAGAAGTTGAACTGAAAAAGTATTTGTGTTTACTCAAACATAAATACAGTCTTAGTATTTCAACATCTGACTATCACAAATGTGCTTATTTGATTAGTGACCGGGTGCAGAATCTTAAATAGTTTTATTAATTATACATCACAACGTTTCGTTGTTTTAAAAACCTGAAAACTTTATTTCCAGGGTTGAGAAATTATGCAATATTTCAATTTTAAATACCAAATTTTCAATCTAGAGTTTTGAATCCCACATATAATACATTACATTACTGTGATGTGCATTGCATGCAGTGAATGCATATCATAAAATAAATCTCATCATCCCAAGAAAGCAGGAGTTGAGTTGTCTTACCAGCGCCTGCATGTCGTACATGGTGCTCAGGTGATCCCAGATGACTTTAGATGACACCTGCCTGCCGATGTTCTGACTGAACTTATCGCGAATACAGATCATGTGGAAATGTCGATTCACTCCTGAAGATATGAGACAGTTTCACAGAGACAGCACAGAAAACACCTTTGTGTTGCCGTAAATTAGCGTAGCCATGATGCTATCATGCTAGTTAGCATCCGCGCTAATGTTTACGTCAACACATTCACTGCTATACTCCCTCCATAAGCACAATATTAGTGCTTCAAAATACAAATATTCAACGATAGTCTACAATATATCTCAAAACTGTAACAAAGCCGTGCATGCGATCACTATATTCAATTTTCTTTTAACAATTAGCGACTGGACTCGATAAAGCTCAATAAAGTATCACTGAAAACCCTTAAATTAACTCACTCTAAAACGCTTTATCAGTATTTTAAAATCTGATTGGTATGATTAAATAACTGCATTATTAATTGATTTTAGATACTTAAAAGGTAAAAAGGAGCATATGGTCTTATTTGTGATGTTATAAGCTATTGTTTCGCGTGTGGAGTTCAGGGCCTGTTATTTCACATAAATCAAGAATAAATTCAACTTACCTACGGGTTTATGACCCAGCATTGCGTGAAAAAGACACACTTCTACTTCTTGACTCCATACAATCGACTCCTCGGCGGTACAGATGCCGGGTTCTGCTCGTTTTTCGTCGGATGGCACAGTCTCTGCTTCCCCCATGTTTCTGCAGCGACACATTTACAGATGCTTCCCTCACTGCTTCATCACCACAGGACACCACAACCATCACAGATACATAACAGACCCAGAGATTATCTTAGATTTATTCTGTGGTTTCATCAAGTGTTTACCTATTTGAAAAAAAAAAAAAAGTTAATAATTGTTAATTATTGATTATTATTGAAAAAAATTGTTAATAATAGTCTCTTCACATTCAAATAATGCAATGTATAGGCCTATTATTGTTTACATTATACTATAGTTATCATAATTCCAAGGTTTGCATTATTTATTTACTTATTTGTTTGTTAGAATGGCACTCTTTTACTTGGAGGGTTTGTTAATAATACATGAAATATATTATTGTTTATATTACCATAATTCCAAGGTTTGCACTTTTTTTTTTTACACATCCAATTCGCACATTTTTGTTTGCAGGGGTTTGTTAATTGTCTCTTCACATTCAAAGTTATTTATATTCTTGTTTATTTCATAATTTCAAGGTTTGCCCTTTTATTTAATCTGAATATTTACATTTTACAACAGAATGACATTCATTTCCTTACAGGGGTTTGTTATTAAGCAATTTGATCTACAGTAGCTCTTCTGTTTGATTGGATCAGATGGTAGTTTTTGCTCCCCACATTCATCAATGAGCCTTGGGCACCCATGACCCTGACGCCGTTTCACCGGTTGTCCTTCCTTGTACCACTTCTGGTAGATACTAACCACTGCGGACCGGGAACATCCCACAACACTTGCCGTTTTGGAGATGCTCTCACCCAGTTGTCTAGCCATCACTATTAGCCCCTTCTCAAAGTTACTCAGATCTTTTCGCTTGCCCATTTTTTCTTCTTCTTCTTTGACATTAACCCTAAAAAGGACAAGACCATAAAGAGAACTCAGAAAATTAATTTATTGCTATTTATTGCTCTTTTTAGGGCACAAATAATACAATTTCATGATTTTTTTAAATGACATATTTTTGATTTTCATGTTTGTATTCCCCTTTGGGGGTATAAATTAACAAAAAAAAAAAAGAATGCATATTTGGCAATGCGTATTACAACATTTTAGCCACATTTTAAAACATTTATTCTCTCATAACTTTAACTAAACATTCTTTGTAAAATTCTGTTGAACAATAAGTATATTTATGAAAATAGCCTGTAAACTGTATCATATTTAATATATAAATTTCTAGGGCCTATACATTATAAATAATATGACCAAAACTTTACTGAAAAACCTGTTGTACACAATCTACTTCATGCTTTCTTTCCTGATTGATAGTTTATACTATACAAGTAATATACAAGTAAATTATTTTTTGCTCAGAAATGTTCATAACGTAAATGTAAGATAAACATTGAAGCAACTTGAGTTTACTTGATTATTTATTCATACACCATTTTTAAATGTTAAACAATTAAATTTTTTCATGTTAATGTAAATGTCAAATGTGACACAACAGGCTATTGGGGAACATTTTTTCTCAATTATCATTGCAATTAATTGCATTTGAGCCATAAAAGTCTGATGTATAAATATGATACTCAACAAAAAACACATGCAAATATGTTTTGTTGAGTATCATATTTTACACACACTGTCATTTCATTGTCATCCCAATCATACCTGCCATACTGATGTGCATATGTTCTTATGAGTACTTTAGCTTCTGCTTTACTTAATGGGACTTGTAGATTTACTTGCTTTATTCTTAAGTTTGTTTCGCCAAAATATCCACCTTCTCATTTCCCTCTACACCAACATGAGCAGAAACCCAAATGAAATGTGTAGATATACCTACCCAGAACTTTTATAGGCCTATATACTTCATACGGAATATCTCATTGATAATATCCATCCTAAACGATGACCTGCCAGATCTTATACTTTTAAGTGACGAGTGGCTGATTCAGTGACAGTGTTATTTTCTTCTCCTCCATCCACTGCAGGGCCAATGATATTGCCAGTAATTCTGTTGCATATACTGACAAACGATTGGTTACTCTAAATCACTCACTGGGATATATACTGCTGCACCATCATATCCTATTTCAGGATCTTTGGATTAAAAAAAAAACTGATTCTGTATTACTGTACTGTAATTGATGCAATCTTTTGCCATTGCATTACCTATCCATCCAAAACTTGTAACACACGCCCTCCTTCTTTCTTCTTTTGTGATTTATGGCAGTTGGCATTTGCACCACCTGGGATGGAGTGAGAAGTTCAGATGGAGGAATGGGAGTGAAAAATAAAAAATTAAAAAACTAAATCCTTCTAATCAGATCTGTATCTCGCGGAAATATGTAAGTAGAGCATCATATACCCTTAGCTGTTTCTGTGCATTCTGAAATATCCTTTAATGTTAATACATTAATTCCCATATTTCTTAATTTATCAACAAGCTGTTTCCTTTCTCTTGTATACGACTCACAATGTAGAATTACATGTTCGGCTGTTTCTGGTATTTCACAATAAATGCAGCAATCTGACTCACTTTTCCCTGTGGTGTGCAGGGAAGAATTTAGATTGGTGTGCCCTATGCGGATCCTGGATATTATAGTATCGTCCCTTCTATTTCCATATTTTCTGTTTTCAATGCCCACTTTAGGCTGGATAGGAAGTGTCTCCCTTATGTCTCTTTATTCTAGCTGTCTACCACATGCTTCTGGCAGCTGCTTTAATAATACATTTTGCTTCAGTCTTGCTTAAAGGGGTCATATGATGCGATTTAAATGTTTCCTTTCTCTTTGGAGTGTTACAAGCTCTTGGTGCATAAAGGCTTGTTCAGGTGTGTTTGATTAGGGTTGGAGCTGAACTCTGCAGGACTGCGGCTCTCTAGGACTGAACTTGCCTACCCCTGCTCTAGGCCGTGGCTCACTCTAGGCCACGGTGTGTGACACTTTTTCGTTGTGAAAGTGAAACTACTTTGTTTGGTCTTCCAAAAGAGGACGATATCCGCTTTGTCATGCCTGGAGCTGATCCGGGCTGGTCGCTGAGGAAATACATCAACTTCGCGCTGTAGATCACCGGATCGGCTTTCACCGTGGATGAAGCGGAGTCCAGCCCGGGGTCGTCACATGTGGTTGC